AAGACGACTCTATTTTCTTGTGTAACAGAACACAATTGGAGAAACTGGTTATTTTGCCAAGGCTTTGACTGGAATGGTGTGCTCTCCTTTAAGGAATCGAACTTGACTTAGGTAGCCAAGAAAGCCCTTGGAAACTGGCCTCATATTTTGGGTACACAGTCCCTGTACAGGGTTTCTGACCTGTGCTAAGCAAAGCATGTCACTTTCTGACAGGCCAGGAACCCCAAGTTATCTTGAAACCTCAAGAGGAAAGGAATTCGCCCAACTCATAGGTATTTAATGGTACAAATCCATGGCTGGGTTTGGCTTTGGAAAGTCTTATCTCGGGTTCCTTCTATGGAAAAAATTTCCATCAAAGCCAGTTTAAAAGGCATATATAGCAAATAATTACTCTTGCTGCACTGTATACAAATAATTAAGCCAAGTATAATAAAGCAAACCAGTCCTAGCATGATTTGTCTTTTAATAAAAACGGGAAACTGGAGAGAGAAAATTAGGTTTCAAAAACTATAGCACACCTGTTAAATTCTAGCCTTGACTGATGCTTTTCAATTTTTATTGTTTTCTACAGTTTAAATTACATCTGTCACAGGAATCAGCTCCTGCATACATCACACTCAAGTCAAAGCCTGAAAAGCTGAGGAAGCAACCCCTCATAGCCAGAGGAATGTCCTAAATACCAATGTAAAGAAATAAGAAATCTTAACCGAAAATCATAAAAAATAAGTAACTGAGTGAACATTACTCATCTGACTCAGTCTCACTCCTACCTCACCAAATACTTTTTGTCATTTCTACCTCTCCTTTTAAGCCAAATATTAAAGCTTTTTTATGGAAATTATTTACTATGCCACTCTTGCGGACGCTTTACTCGACTATTTACAGTAGGACCATACGCTAGCACCCTGAGGGTGGGATATCGGACAGACAGTCTCAATTACCATAGCATTTTGCTTTATTACTATCCTCATAGCAGGAATAAGTTAATAACAAAAAATAACACATGGGTCTTTCCAAACGTGTGCCTCTGCCTCTCACTGGGAAAATGTGGCTTCTATCTCAACCAATCAGGCCTCCTAAGAGACGCTGCTAAAAATCTCAAAGAAAGGGTTAAAAGGCTAAGCGAATACCAAAACCAGCAAATACATTATTGGTTTGGGAACAAAACTCATTCCACGGGTCATCCCATTCCTGTGCCCTCTCCTAATAATATGCCTAGGACTAATGTTTTTACCTTGCCTAACTAACCTTTTTCAAAGATTCTTAACTGACAGGAGCATGGCTATTTCACAGACAACTACCCAAAACACCTAGAGACAGCATTGCTCCTGCAGCCAATCCGAGATGGAAGGACTCTCCACCTCTCCCGCCCAGCAGGAAATAACTAAAAAGAACGCGTCGCCCCTGGTCCTTTTATAACTACAGGGTCTGGAGTGACAGAGCAGGAGCACCATCATCTTCAATAAACACCACCACTTTTAGTTCCAGCTCCCTTTCTAACCTCACGCATTTCAAGGAAATCACTTCTAACAAAAAGCAGCCAGAAACAGCAGACAGTAAAACACAGATAACACAGCTGGGCACAGAGGGAGGGGGGAAAGTCTCTTGGGTGATCACCAAACTTCACACTCACGTTTTGGGAGTGTAAATGGGCCCCATAAAAATGGGCCCCAGTAAAAAAGTGGGCCCTAATAAGCACATTCCTTTCCCTTTAGATGCGCTCAGACAGACAAGCTAAAACCAGACTAGCGGGTGGGGAGGGGTTCCCTGCAGCTGCAGGAAGATGTCTGGGGAACAGACACAAAAACTCCCCCTCCCAGATAAGCAAGAGGAAGAGACACAGAAACATTCCAAGTCTGTGATAAGCTCTCCTGCCCTGAACTCTTAAATACTCTTAGTCTATAAGAGACAGTGCCTCTGACTTAACTCGGCCAGAAGGCCCTCTCAGATTCACTATCCAAAACAAACCTGTCTTTGACTGTTCAGCCGCTTATCCTGGTTCTTTCCTTTCTTTAACTCTTACACTCCTCCCACATTCCTCGGGCACAGGTGTGGGCAGGGCCACCACCAAAGGCTGCCTGATTCCTGATTCAGAGCACTGGCGGCGGCGGCGGCGGCGGGGGGAACCCTTCCACATCCTATTAATCCCTTTCTAGAAGAAATAGCTTCTCTAGAAAAGGAAGCCTGCAGTTTTAAGGTTGATTCCAAAGACAGTTGTCGTAACTCCATGAACTCTGAATTTGCAGCTGAAGCTGAGTCAGAATGATATGACTGAGAATCCCAACAAGGTCCAGAAAAGGAAGTGGGATAGACTTCGAGATCAGGGCTCCACAATGATCCACCTGAAGGCTAACCAGGACATCCAGGGGCAATCGATCCGAAAAGGAAGGAAGAGGCTGTCACTAGTGCAAATCCAAGCATAGCAGGGTGTCCCAGTTGTGGAGAAGGACCAGCCAGGAGTGAAGGACCAGTCAGGACTGAGAAGGAACAGCCAGGAGTGTCACAGTCACCCCTGCTCAGAAGGATCAAGAGTCAATCCCAGAGGTCAGTGGAGAAGGACCAGACGGTGCCAGAGACGGGCAGCTTCTGTGACAGGAGAGTAGTTACAAACTCTCAAGAGAAACCCATCGAGGAGCCCCCTGGGGACCAAAGGACAGTCACTGACAGATGCTCTCCACCCCTAGGGTTTTTGGATGACTCCCATTTAGAAATCCAAAAGCATAAAGACAGGGAGGTGGTGATGGGGCACCCCTCTTCAGGAAGCAACTGGTCTGATGTGGAGATCTCCACGGTCAGATTCTCTCAGGAGGAACCCGTCTCGCTGAAACCCTCAGCCATTCCGGAGCCTTCTTTCTTCACCACTATGTCATGTACCTGCCACATCTGTGCAGTAGTACTTGGCGTACATCAGCTAGCGCACCAGCAGCCCCACGCCTTCCAGCCACCTCTCTGTGGGCAGCAGCAGCAATGACACAGTGTAGGCTGGGGGGAGCAGCCGGAGCGCCTGATTCTTCCCCCAACTCTGCGATGAGCTCCCACAACAGCTCCTGAGATGTGGAGGCCTCAGAGGAAGGCAGCTCCTAGAATTCCCATCCATTTCACTTCTCCAGAAACTTGGGAGGAAAAGAGGTGAAGCAGAAAAGAACATTCCAAGAGGAGACGCCTCCACGTCCTTGTGGAGGACACACATCCAGTTCCCTGCCAAAGAGCCACTGGGAGCCAAGCCTACAACAGGGCTTCATTGATACCCATTGTCACTTGGACACGCTATCTTCCAAGTTGTCTTTCAAAGGGACCTTGACCAAGTTCAGAAGAATTTACAGCAGCTCCTTCACTAAGGAATTTCAGGGTTGCATCTCTGACCTCTGCCATTCTCATACCCTGACAAATTGCCTGTGGGGAGAGCTGTTCCAAGAGGATGTGGTCTGGTGGGCCTTTGGCTGTCATCCTCATTTTCCATGCTACTACAGTAAGAGTCAGGAAAGAAATCTTTTACAAGCCTTAAGGCATCCCAAGGCTGTGGCATTTGGAGAAATAAGCTTCGATTACTCCTTCAAGTGCACCATGACTGTCCCAGAACATCACCAGGTATTTAAGAGACAGCCTGAGCTGGCTGTGTCTCTACAGAAGCCTTGGTGATCCACTGCCGGCAAGCTGACGAGGAATGGCTGGACACCATGAGAAAATGTGTGTCCTCTGACTACAAGATCCACAGGCATTGCTTCACCGCAGCTACCTGGCCATTGAGCCCCTGCTGAAGTACCTTCCCAATGTCGGTGGGCCTCACGGCGGTCCCGACGTACTCCTCCACCTGGGAAGCCTGGGAAGTGCTGAGGCAGATCCCACTGGAGAAAATCATCGTGGAAAAGGATGCTCCCTACTTCCTCCCACGCCAGGTTCCCAAAAGCCTTTGCCAGTATGCCCACCTGGGCCTGGCCTTGCATACAGTCCCAGAGATTGCCAGAGTCAAAGATCCAGTCTCCCACACCTTGGCCATTTTGCGTGAGAACACCAGCTGCCTCTACAGTCTTTAAGCAGAGAGGATACAGTCATTGGGAGTCTCCCAGAAAAGGGCAACCAGCCACCTGACATAATACAGGCCAGCCTGAAGTATGTGTCCCAGGGCAAGGATGTGTTTGGAGGGCCGACTGGACACAGAAAACCAGGACGGGGTATTTTTCCTCGAAGTGGGTCATGAGGCTTCAGCTTTTGGGAGGGGGGTGTGGAATGAGGGGCAAGGGGACTGCCCGTAATAGCACTGGGGTTTTGAGTCCCAGCCAAAATGCTCCAGGGTGGGAGTAAAGAAGAAGTGTGACATGAGGGTACAATGAGTTTGCCAATCCAAATCCTGTTCTCTGCAGCCTGTGTTTTTGAGCAGCTGTGACTAAAGTCACCCTCCTACTCGTCTAAAAAAAAAAAAGAAAAACATAGTGTAGGTATACATAGGGTATAAACAGCTATATATATAAGGATCAGTACTATCCAAGACCGCAGGTAGTTACTGGGGATCTGGGAACAAATCCCCCCCAAAGATAAGGGGGGGTCTACTGTGTCACCAAGTTAGATACACTGAAAGCTGATTCTTTTCTGGATGAGTTCACAAAACACATTTCGATTCCAGGCCCTTACACCCCCTTTTATTTTTCTTTTTTGAGACAAGGTTTCACTCTGTTGCCCAGGCTGGAGTGCAGTAGCGGGATCTCAGCTCATTGCAACCTCTACTTCCCAGGCTCAAGCGATTCCTCCTGCCTCAGCCTCCCAGGAAGCTATGACTACAGGCGTGCACCACCACGACCAGCTAATTTTTGTATTTTTGGTAGAGACAGGGTTTCACCATGTTGCCCAGGCTGGTCTTGAACTTCTGAGCTCAAGTGATTTGCCCACCTCAGCCTCTCAAAGTGCTGAGATTACAGGCATGAGCCACCACGCCCAGCCTGGCCTTTCCACTTTTGTCAAATGCTTTTCATGACTGACGTTTCACACATAATAGAATTACTCACGTTTGCCATATTCCTAGCGTAACAGAAGCCAACCACAATAGTCCAACAATGAAGAATTTAGGCAAATAGAAAGTTAAACACTTTCTTTCTCCCTAAAAAGAAAAAAATAAAAAGTAAGAAATAAAACCAAATTAGTAATTGTACATAACGTGATTTTTCTATCGAGTATGGGCCTGCAGGCAGGCTTCCATAGATAAATTCCTTTCCAGGTTGTCCTCAGAGTTTGGAAGGGAGAACACAGTCTGGAACCTCCCCCAGCAGTGCGGAGAGCTGCGGCTCACCTGGACGCGAATCCCATGGTACACGCACAGCCAGAAGAGCAGCAGGGCGCACAGGAACATGGACTGAAAAAGGTCGTCCAGCATCCCCGGGAGCCAGCTGTTGACCAGGAAGGAGAGGGGGAAGAACGGATCTGGAACACAAAGGGCAGAAATGCATGAGGAGAACAAGGCCCGTGAGCACCCGGCAGAGAGCACCCCAACCCTCTGTGGGGTCAGCACCTAGCAGAGAGCACCCCATCCCTCTGCGGAGTCGGAGCTCACTACCAGCTTTTCTCCCTGGTCAGAGCCAAAGGAAAGGTAGTGAACCAATGGCTATTTTGTCTTCCAAAACACCTAAAAGCCACTGAACAGATTGCTGCACTGATCGTGACAGAGCACCGTATGCCGCTACCATTAGCTCCTCCCGGAGCCTAGGAGTTCCGACTGCGGCAGCTCAGGAAGCAAACACTTTTGGAGCAGGAAAAGAAGAACAGCCAGCCACGTCTGGCCACCTTCAGCCAAGTTCCAGGACTGCTGTGTCTGTAGCACATCCAAGTTTTAACTACCAAACAGCCGCCTATTTGTTAGAGAGCCAGGCATCTGCCCCAGCTCGGTGGAACATGGCTCCTGGGGCGCCAGGTAGCACACGGCTACATGTTCCTTCTGGGACTCCCTACGGGCTCTTCTGGGCCTAGGCCATCTCCAAGATGCCTTCCCGCTTTACTTCTTTTTTGTTTTGTTTTAAGAGGCAGGGTCTTGCTGTTATCCAGGCTGGAGTGCAGTGGTGCCATCATGACTCACTGCAGCCTCAGATTCCTGGGCTCAAGCAATCCTCCCACCTCAGCCTCCCACGTAGTTGGGACCACAGGCACACACCACCATGCCCAGCTAATTTTATTTTTTGTAGAGTCTCGCTATGTTACCCAGGCTGGTGTTAAACTCCTGGCTTCAAGCAATCCTCCTGCCCCAGCCTCTCAAAGTGCTGGGATGACAGGCACAACCCTGCACCTGGCCTCCAGCTTTACATTTTAAAGGGGAAAGTTCCTAAGTAAAAATGGAACTACCCACCATTGTAAAGCAGCAGCAGAGGCAGGAGAACAGACATCCACTTCTGCTCGATGCCCCAGTCTCTCATGGAAAATTTCCGGAGGGAATGCGCAAACAGGCACTGCAAACCAAATCAGGCCTCCAGTTACTGCCTTTGCTCACACTTTGCTTGCAGCCTTTGCTCACACTTTGCTTGCAGCCTTTGCTCACACTTTGCTTGCAGCCTTTGCTCACACTTTGCTTGCAGCCTTTGCTTACACCTTGCTCTTACGGCCTTTGCTCACACCTTGCTTACAGCCCTTACTCACACCTTGCCTGCATATCATGTTGTCTTCTCTAATCAATGGTCTAGGTGCCCCATTAAGATCCATTGCCTTAAGCCCTGGCTGAATTGCCTACTGTGTCCTGGAAGCCATCAGTGACAACCAAGACAAGGTTGTTACTTTCTGCAGAGAAGCAACAGCTAAGACAGGTTCCGAGCTGTCCTCATAGGAGCAGGAGAGGAGAAGGAACGTAATCCCTGCAAAATGGAAGAGCACCCGCCCCCTCACCTCCACCGGTGAGGAAAACAAGGCCCACTTCCATTGGGCCTGCTCCAGAGAGCCCGCACTCAGAAGGACCCACCCAGGACACAGGCAACATCCATGGGTGTGACAGGAGCCTCAAGTTCCCAGCAGTGCAAATGCTACAGATGGCAGCAGCTTCCAAGACGGTGCCAGGGCTCACCCACAAAAAGCCAAGAGAATGTAGGAGTCTCGTAATAATGGTCAGAGGATGCATTTCTTTTCAAACACCTCCCTGAAGAAAGTGTGTTAGGCCCGTGGAAGAAGTTTCTTTAAACTGCTTTAAAACATTATATAACTTATAATTTTTAGGCCAGGGTTTTGTTGTTGATTTGTTTTCTTATAATCTGACGTAAGCCAGTAGTTTTCTAGGCAATGTGGATTTCCTTGCCTAGCGACCATCCTCCCTCTTTTTAAGGACATACTTAGGGCCCTGAGTAATAAATAGCTCTTTGGGCTCCAGAGTGTGGCAGCAGAATCTCAGGGCATCAGAGAGCCTTTGAGAAGAAGCAAGAGTTTGACTGTCCAGACACAATTACCAGCTTTCCGCTTTCATTTAGGAAGCTCACTGGGGAAGCCCTGGGATCCTGGAGGCTCTGGGCTGGGCCTGACTACAACCTCCAGCTCCCCGTGGCTCCAGCACCCACGCCCTTCCCTCCAGCTCCCTGTGGTTCCAGCCAGCTCCCACGCCCTTCCTCCAGCTCCCTGTGGCTCCAGCACCCACGCCCTTCCTCTCCAGCTCCCTGTGGATCCAGCTCCATCGCCTCCCCCAGCTCCCACGCCCTTCCCCTCCAGCTCCCCGTGGCTCCAGCACCCACGCCTTCCCTCCAGCTCCCTGTGGTTCCAGCACCCACGCCTCCAGGCTCCCTGTGGCTCCAGCACCCACGCCCTTCCCTGCAGTTCCCTGTGGCTCCAGCACCCACGCCCTTCCCTCCAGCTCCCTGTGGTTCCAGCACCCACGCCCTTCCCTCCAGCTCCCTGTGGTTCCAGCACCCACGCCCTTCCCTCCAGCTTTCTGTGGTTCCAGCACCCATGCCCTTCCCTCCAGCTTCCTGTGGTTCCAGCTCCCTGTGGTTCCAGCACCCACGCCCTTCGCTCCAGCAGAGCATCTGCTCACAGGTGCACATGCCTGTGTCTTTCCATGCACAGTTACTCTGAGAAATACCAAGTGTTCCTGGGTGGACACATTTCCTAAATGTCACCTCCCCACCATCCTGCACCAGGACAAGCAGCTGATGAGGGCAGAACGCCATGCTTCAGGCGGCAACAGATCACTACATGAAGCACACTTTCCCTTCCTCCAATTTACCAATTCTCATCTTCACAGACTGGGGCTCTTGGGGGCTCCCTTGGGTTTCTCAGGGTAAGCATTTCCCCCAAAGCTACTGTGGGCTCGTGGACAGAAACCTCAGATCCCAAACGAGCCCAACGCTTGCATTCCCAAAACACTTCTCTTTGGCCTTATTCCTGAAAATGCCCAAAAACACAAAGGACTGGTACAACTATAAAAATATAAAATATAAAAACCCAAGAGCATGCTGCATCTGCACTCAGAGAAGCTCACTCAAATAAGGCAGACTGACTTCCATATACATGAAATGGCACTTCTCACCACACATGATGAACATTTACTTAAAACTCGGTGATGTATAATGACTCCTGCACGCTACAGAAATCCTGAATACAGGATACCACATCATTCTTTCTCGCATGACAGCATCTTGGCAGACACACAGAGTAGTAATATCAGCACAGCCCACTGGATGGAGCATCTGAGTTCAGATCAATCTCCATGTGGCTTGCACCAAAGATCATAACTGCATCAACCAGCTTCTTCCTGGCTGGGATCTGCCGTGCTCTGTCAGGCGAATGGTACTCACAGTGACGATGAAGGTGAGCACCACAAAGAAAAACCGGAACCAGATTTCCAACTGGGAGAAGGCAGGGTTATAAGTCTTCCACTAAAATAGAAAGTGAGGAAAATGATTTGAAAAAAAATATGTGCATCGAAGTGAAAATACATAAAGATTACTAATAGTTATCTCTAGATATGATACTATATATATATATCTCTCTACACTTCTTTTTTTTTGGGGATGGAGTCTCACTCTGTCGCCCAGGCTGGAGTGAAGAGGCGCAATCTTGGCTCACTGCAACCTCCGCCTCCCAGGTTCAAGCACTTCTCCTGCCTCAGCCTCCTGAGTAGCTGGGATTACAGGTGCCTGACATCATGCAGGTTAAATTTTTACATTTAGTACAGTTTTACTTTTTTATCAAAGGACACAGACATAAAAAATCTTAATTACCAAGAACAAAAAATAATTTCAAATGGTGTTATATGGATGATAAATCTGACAAATTATTTTATAATCATAAGAGCATTTGGATCTTAAATCTCATGTCAAAAATCAACCTTGTCAATCTCTTTATTAGAAATAGTCATACTTTCCATCAAAAGAAAGTTTTTTTTTTTTTTTTTTGAGACGGAGTCTCGCTGTGTCTCCCAGGCTGGAGTGCAGTGGCGTGATCTCGGCTCACTGCAAGCTCCGCCTCCCAGGTTCACGCCATTCTCCCGCCTCAGCCTCCCAAGTAGCTGGGACTACAGGCGCCCGCCACCACGCCCAGCTAGTTTTTTGTATTTTTAGTAGAGACGGGGTTTCACCATGTTAGCCAGGATAGTCAGAAAGTTTTAAAAGATGTAAAAGTGCGACTAGAATGTTGTAACAGAGTTTAAGTAAAACCTTTAAGTATGAATGTGAAAGCAGAAGAGTTGCAATTGAAGGAGTCCGTTCTCATGCTGACCAGGCAGTCCCAGGTGTGCCAAGTGTGCACTGATTGGAGCCGAGGACAGGACACTGCTGCTGACAGCAGGGCAGAGGCCAGCCACCGCCAACCTAAGCACGAGCTAGGTCCATAACCAGACCCCAGAACACTGCACTCACAGGGCCGGTGAGCCTCATCATTCTGATGCATTGAATTCCAGTCATCCGAGCAATTTAAAAAATCTACTTCAGTACAGATAGAGTCATAGATGCTAGATTTGCCTGTCACACACACACACACACACGCACACACGCACACACGCATGCACAAGGATGATTTAAGACACTGGACCTGAGGAAGTCATGAAGGGTAGTAACCTCTGACTGATGGCAAACAGTAAGGGGTGCCCCTGGTGGCCCCACATCATGGAGGGGAACCCAGGCAGAGCCATGGCTGGGAGTCCAGGGAGACAGGGCTGGCCTGAATCCACAGGACAGAGTGCTGGAAAAGAGAGCTGTACAGAGAAAGAACGAAGCTCCCAAAAAGCCAGTGCCTGGCACCCACAGAGCCAGTCATGGTACCTGTTCCCACAAGACAGAGAAGAAACTCACCATTAAAGGACACTGGGTAGCATATGCTGAACGCTTTTGCCTCAGTGGTAGGAAAAAAATTAGCCTCAGACTTTATGCTGCTTTGGCCCCACCTAGCAATGTTGAAAAGCAAGGCCAGGAAAGATCAAACCATTTCCAAGGAAATTAACAACGTCCCAGAACAAAGCTCAGGGATATTGATAAGACAGCAAACCTAGCAATCAATAATGTCTGGCATTGAACTGAAAGTACCAGACACACCAAAAAGCAGGAAAATACAAACCATATGAGGAAAAAACCAACCAATCAAAACTGGCCCAGAAATCACAGATGACAAAATTAGCAGATAAGGAAATCAAGCAGCTAGATGAATGATTTTTGTGTTAAATAAAGACTTGGAAGATGATCAACAGATGAGACACTACAGAGATTGGTAAATGTGAAGGCACAGCAATAGAAGCTATCTAAAATAAAACTAAAAAAAAAAAAAAACCTGAAAAAAATGAACAGAGCATCAGGTGAGCAATGGGCCAGCAAGCATTACCACCTGAGTTCCAGCTGTCAGATTGTCCAGGGCATTAGATTCTCATAGAAGCACGAACCTGCTGTGAACGGTGCAGGGGAGGGATCTAGGCTGCGTACTTCTTATGAGAATCTAATGATAAATGTAATGCACTTGGGTCTTCCCAAAATCATCCCCAACCAACCCTGGTCCATGGAAAAATTGTCTTCCATGAAACCAGTCCCCAATGCCAAAAAGGTTGGGGACCAGTGGCCTAATTTGGGGTCCCTGAATTTGGAAGGTCAGGGGACCAGAAGGACAAAAAAAAGTATTTGAAGAGATAATGGCCAAAATGTTTCCAATTTGATGAAAACTATCAGCTCACAAATCCAAGCAGCTCAATGGACTCCAAGCACAAGTAATGAGGAAAAGTACAAGCAGCACCCTAAGAGAAAAATCTTCAAAGAGGCTGGGGAGAGGGAAGAACAAAGAACATTATTACAAGAAAACGAAGATAAGGACAAAGATAAGGTGGACATCAGACTTCTTGTCAGAAAAATGCAAGCCAGAAGACAGTGACCAACATTTTCTAAGTATGTGAATTAGGCCAGATGCGGTGGCTCACGCCTATAATCCCAACACTTTGGGAGGCCGAGGTAGGAGGATAGTTTGAGGCCAGGAGTTTGAGACTAGCCTCGTCAACACAGCAAGACCCTATCTCTACAAAAATGAAAAATAAAAAAACTAGCAGCATGGTGGCGTGTGCCTGTAGTCACAGCTACTCAGGAGGCAGAGGTCAGGGTCAGTAAGCTATGATCATATCACTGCACTCCAACCTAGGTGACAGAGCAAGATCCCATCTCAAAAAAAAAAAAAAAAAAAAGTACATAAATTAAAACCACAATGTAAAACCATTAAATACCATTATACACCTACGACAACAGCCAAAATTAAAAAGACTGACCATACCCAACGTTGATGGGATATGAAGTAACTGAAACCCTCATACGCTACTGATGTAACATAAAATAACACAACCACTCTGCAAAACAGTTTGTGAGTTTCTTAACCGCATGGCCCAACCATTCCATTTCTAGCATTTATCCAAGAGAAATGAAAGCATATGTCCACACAAAGATTTATACACAGATGTTCACTGCTGCTTTCTTTGTAACAGCCCCAAACTGGAAGCACTTCGAATGTCCATCAACAGATGAACGAATAAACAATTTCTGTTACATTTGTTATACTAGAATATCACCATGGACACATTCATCATTGATCAAGCTCAAAATAATTATGCTACATGAAACAATTCAAACACACTGGAGTATATATTGTATAATGCCAGTTACATAAAATTCTAAAAAAAAAAATGCAAATAAGTGCGTTGTGAAAACAGATCAGTGACTTCCCAGGGATGGGAAAGGACAGGAGGAAGGGGCACAAGAAGATGTTTAGGGATGATGGCTGGTGAGGGGATGCTTATGATCTTATTTGTGGGAACGGTTTCCCAGGTTTCACTGTGTGTCAACTATACCTCAATAAAGCTGCCAAACAAAAACCAACCACTAACAATAGATGGTAATGGGGAAGTGGAGATCACAGTGATTCAGGTTCAAATTCCAGCTCTTCCCATTACTAGTTGGGCAAATGACTTAACCTCATGAAACCTCATTTCCTCTATAAAATGGGGATGCTAGTAACCTACTTACCTACTTAACGTAATTATTGTAGCCTTTTAGCCTTGTTTTTATTATTTTTATTTTTTATTTATTTATTTTTTTTGAGACAGAGTCTTGCTCTGTTGCCCAGCCTGGGCTGCAGTGGCAGGATCTCAGCTCACTGCAACCTCTGCCTCCCGGGTTCAAGTGATTCTCCTGCCTCAGCCTCCCGAGCAGCTGGGACTACAGGAGTGTGCCACCACTCTCAGCTAATTTTTGTATTTTTAGTCGAGATGGGGTTTCAATACACTGGCCAGGCTGGTCTCGAACTCCTGACCTTGTGATTCACCTGCGTCAGCCTCCCAAAGTGCTGGGATTACAGGCATGAGCCACTGCACCTGGCTCTCTCCTGGGTTCAAGCGATTCTCCTGCTTCAGCTTCCCAAGTAGCTGCGATTACAGGTATGCGCCACCACGTCCGGCTAATTTTGTATTTTTCGCAGACACAAGGTTTCACTATGTTGGTCAGGCTGGTCTCGAACTCCTGACCTCAGGTGATCTGCCAGCCTCGGCCTCCCAAAGTGCTGGGATTACAAGCGTGAGCTACCACACCCAGCCTATCATAGCATTTTAATCAGATGATGCGTATTAAAAGCTAAGCACAATGCCCAGCAAACAGCAAAGGTTCAGTAAACAACAGTTGCTACTATAAATCCAAAACATCATATAACTATTAGGATTATTGCTACAGCATTTAAATATTATAATACAATTGTATCATTTATAGAATGATCAAAGTACTGACTTGAGCATTTGGGGGGAGTGTTGATATAAACATAATATTCAGATTAAAAACGTTTACTACATGTCTTAGTTGAACAAACATACTCTAAGGCACAGTCAAGAAGAGAAAAAAAAAAAAAGAATTGCTACCATCAGAAAAAAACACAAAATTTGCTTGAAGTAACAGGCCTGAAAGGTTGGGTGGTTGTTTTTACTCTCAAGGAACCGTAACTCTTAAAAAAATAACCTCAGATTCCCCTGGAGGAAGGGGATTCTAGCTTAAGATTCTGTTAGAGCAACAGAAAATAATCAACTCACTCTCACTAAAAATTAACACTAGGGTTGGATGCGGTGGTTCACACCTGTAATCCCAGCACTTTGGAAGGCTGAGGTGGGTGGATCACCTGAGGTCAAGAGTTTGAGACCAGCCTGGGCAACATGGCGAAACCCCGACTCTACTAAAAATACAAAAATTAGCCAGGCGTGGTGGTGCATGCCTGTAATCCCAGCTACTTGGGAAGATGAGGCAGGGAGAACTGCTTGAACACAGGAGGTGGAGGTTGCAGTGAGCCGAGATTGCACCACTGCACGCTAGCCTGGGCGACAGAGCAAGACTCCATCTCCAAAAAAGAAAAAAAAAAAAAATTGGGGCGGAGCAAG